AGCAATCCGTGGTAGCAAAAGCTGAATATTTTCAAGAATAGACCACTTTTCCTAGCCAAATCTTCATGTTTCACTCTATTTGGTCAAGATTAGCATTGATAGGTAGAGAAAAGTACCTAGATTAAAAAATATGTGGGGATTTTCTAATCTCTTTTTTGTTTGCGAGTTACAGTTGCTCAAAGTTTGTGATTTAGCCTCTTCGAAAAATTTTCAGGCAGCACTGGGGAAAGCAAGAGCAACCAAACTATCTCAATCTCTTTTAAATATCTAGGCAAATTTCTTGTGCTTACTCTTTCTTTGAATAGAGCTTCAGATGCTAAAATAAATTTCAGCTTTTCTTCTTTCTCCTACCCACGTGCCATGTTTATCTGCACTGCACTGCTAGGTGCTGACCACACCTATAATTTATTTTATGGATCAGTGCAGTAATTGCATTGTTGCACTTTGTCAAAATCTATTATCCTTTTTTTAAATATCAAGTTGCTTATATATATAATATCATGATGGGGACAATACAAGTAACACATTATCCCTCAGGTGAATCTCAGCGGGCGAGTCCACGCACCATGGTGCTTCATTTAACTAGTAAGCATAATCATTGTTCATTTACAACATGGCCAAGCTCTACCAAATATCACTCTTAAATTGTTACCATTGCCATAACTATAACACTTAATGGCTAAAAATGTGGTTATAGCAGAGAGCATGCCTAGACTGGCTGGCTAGATCCACTATCACGATAGATTAAATACTGCCATCACATCACAATAGCTTCTATACTATCGTGATAGTGAATATATTCGACACTATCGCCCAGCACTACTTAAAGGTCTTTTAATTTATGGTGGAATGACAAAATAAAAGCTTCAATTATTTTGATTGGCTCAGAGTCAAAGAAAAGCAGTACTGTGCTTAGCTATACAGTTACATTATGCTTAAATTGCAGCTGAGATTCTTTGCTAATAATAAAGGTAGAAGAGCATGCTATAAAATTGTCTTCCAATGGGTCATCCATGCAAGTTAGTTTATGCTCATGCTAGCCCCTTCAATGTTTTACATTCGTCTAGTTAAGCAAACATTGTGATATCATCATGTACTGCTCATCCTTTAAATTCTACAGTATTCTTCCAGTTATACTAGCTGTAGTTTAATGCATGTATTAACGGACATGTGTTTTTACAATATTACTGCTACCACATTAGATCATACCCAGTAGTACACACATGGGGCGTGACCTGAAGATGGGCCTGACTGGAGATGCAATACATACAGAGTGGTACTTTGCTAGCCCAATTACTAATGAGCAGGTACATGTACATGTATAAGTACCAGTACAATACAAAGGATAGTGTATCAATATTGACAGTCAGTGTATAACAATTAAGCTATTCCTACAATTAAAATGTATTTTATACTACATGTGTATGTATCTATGAAAACGTACATGTACATGTATGTACACTGTACAGTGTTTCCTTGCTATAAGGTGGTTAACAATATTTCTGCTAGTCCTCAAGTTATGCTAATACTCAAGTTGAATTTTGTTCTAGTCTAGTGTCAAGCATGAGTCAAAGGTCGACCTGCCCATGCTTTTGATTGAATTGAAGGAACTTTTAATAATAATAGTAATTCACACATAATACATGTATAAGTACACGTACATACTACACACTAATATATTTGGTTAAATTAAGGACTAGTGTACATTAATACACAATATTGATGGACATTATAAAATAATATTAAGCAATTCCAGCAATTAACACATGAATCATGTGTAATGGGTTGTTGCTATATACTTGCCCTAAATGCTCTACTACATGTACATTGTAGTTATACATGCACTTCAGTATAATACATGTATTAATGGGACAAGACACTGTAACACAAGTCAGGTGAGTGGTCACAAAGACAAGATGAACCATGAAATGTTCAACATTCATTAACTTAATAAATAAATCATTGAATGATTGAAGAATGCATGTAGAATGATGTACATGTATCATTAATATAAAAGCTCTACATAATACTCAACTATTGACTGTACACATATTAATTATACAAGTCATTATGCTGTATTGAAATGGGATTCAATTATGATTGTGACAAGGTGTTATCAAAACAACTTACATGTACATGTACATGTATTCTCATTAGCAGCTAAAACATAAACAGAGAATTATTCACAGGTTAGTTTGTACATGTATACTCATGAGTACAGACTTGTTCAATTTAGGCTATTATTATCAGGACCTGCTCAAAATCTATCACTTTTTATTCTCCAGTTTATCATACGTACATGTACATGTAGACCAGGAATAGTCTCACAATACATGTACTTAACTGATTCTATAGAAATTAAGTTAAATGTGTCATTATTATGAGCAACAACCTACCAATAAGACACATGCATGTACATGTAATGGGTATGACAAAGTTTTGTACATGTACATGTTTTTGAGAAATGAAACAAAGTTTACCAATACATACAAGTACATACCAGTACACATACCAAGTGTACTGTGTACATCAGTGTGGCTCACATCAGCTGTGAGGGACTGTACTGTACATGCATAAGAGTACATAAGAGGAACAATAGTAACCTAATAGTGGGATACAACTACCATGCATTAATATACACATTATACACTATAAGCTATTGCTATATAACTCATACACAATTTAATTCATAGAAGAAGCTAATAGGGAAGGAATGGACAACAAATAATCATGTGACACATTTTTATTATTTAAATTAATTTTACACATGATAAGGGAGGAAGCTGTAGCTGATGACTCAAGCTGTTTGATAAAATTTACTAACAATACAGTACTACATACAGTATAATAACATCAGTTCAATAAACTAATAAATACATTACCTGAGTGTACTCTCAGTATAGTGGCAGTGTCACTATGATTATTTTGTTCAGCATAGCCAAGAGCAGTCCCACCAAGCTATACAAGGTAAACATTGATTAACATGATAGTACAATGTTATCACAATCAAACTAAAAACCAACTTTAATTGTTGGTCTGTCTTCAATACTCCATAGTATTGAGTATGTTAGAGACAGTGGAGGTACATTTAGTGTACAAGTATACATTTTACTGATATAAATAATTACATGTACAATACTACTAGTCTACATGTACATGTACATGTATATTTACACTGTTGCAGTATCAATAAAATGTTCTTGGTTATAGCCATAAACTCAGTTACTATACATGTAGATTGAGAAACCTTCATGACTGGGATAATAATTTTCAAAGGTGCTTAAATTTTGATGCTTAATGCACATAATATTAATTTAAGTTGATGTCAATACAGACACTGAACACAAGGGACCATAGTGTCCTAGTGGGAGGTGTCTGTAAATCAGATACTGCCCCAGTAGGTAAGTGATATAATTACATCAATTTGAGTGGGTGGATCACATTATATATTCATGCACAGTATAACTACATTCTAAGTATGTCCTCCATACCAAAGAAAATGTCAATGCCCACTGGCCTCTTGTAAGTCTATCTGACATTATTATACTATTATACATGTAACATTATAAAGTATTACCATGTAGAAATGTAATTGTTCTGAAACTTTAAACTTTCAAAAACGCTACACATAGCAAATGTTTCGTTTAAAATTTTTAACAAATTACAAAAATTACTTTCGATACTTTATTCAAAATTATTGAGATTTCTTATTTTTTAGCTTTCAATATTTTAAAAATAAAAAATCGAAAGGTCATTACCATCAAAAATTCAAAATTTGTCTATACTCAAAATTTTTGAAAATCGGCACCCAAAAATAAAGTATAAAATTTTGATTTTTTTTCTATATTTTTTACTCATATATTTTCAAAAATTTCAGGCCACAAAAATTTCTGGCTATACTTTAATCAAAAATTATTGACATAAAATAATTATTTTAATAAAAATGCTTTCCATAAAGTGATACAGTAGAGTACATTAAGCTATACATGTACATGTACACACACTGTATGAGATATACAGCACCTGCGGTTACTTTGATCCACTCACTCAAAAGGATATACATGTACAATCACTATTGGAGTATAATTAATGATTATACTTACTCTATCAGAAGCAGCTACATCTGCTCCTTTTTCAAGGAGCATTGTCACCATCTGTGTGCTTCCATTCATAGCTGCTACCATGAGAGGAGTGTATCCAGCCTATAAAAAGAAGACAGGATAATAAAGACACTAACACTACACAGTCAAGTGTCATATCATCTTGTGTACTGTAGTAGTCCAATATAATAATAATGTTAATACTCATTATAATGTGTTATACACAAAATGAACATTTATTAATTTTTACACAGAAACACAAAAGTTTCAGTCACACTAGAGGTCAGGTCATCAAAGCATGCATGTAGAGAAGTATGGGCCACTCACAAAAGGATTATATTCATGAAATTCTGTCTTCTCTCTCATTTGAGGAAGTTTTTAGTTTTTAAAATAACCCTGTGACATTTTTTAAACGACTGCTTCTTAATGGCTTTTAATTATTAATAAAAACTAGGGCAATTAATTTAAACACAGTGAAATTAATATTTTCACAAAAATCATAAAGAGAGAGAGAGAGAGAGAGAGAGAGAGAGAGAGGGAGGGGGAGAGGGAGGGAGACAGACAGACAGACAGACAGAGAGAAAGAGACAGAAAGAGAGAGAGAGAGAGAGGGAGGGAGGGAGAGAGAAAGAGCTAGGGAGGGAGGAATACAGACACACAAAGGCAGAGAGTGACAAAGAGACAGAGAGAGGGAGGGACGGAAGGATGGAGGGAGACAGACAGACAAATTTAGAGACAGAGAGAGGGAGGGACGGACAGAGGGAGAGAGACAGAAAGAGGGAGGGAGGGAGATAGACAGACACACAGAGGGAGAGAGTGACAAAGAGACCGAGAGAGGCGAATTTAGAGACAGCTAGAGAGAGAGAGGGAGGAAGAGAGGGAGGGAGGGAGGGAGACAGACAGACAGACAGAGGCATACAAAGAGACAGAGAGAGAGCTAGGGAGGGAGGGAGACAGACAGACAGAGACAAAGAGACAGAAAGAGAGAGAGAGAGAGAGAGGGAGGGAGGGAGAAAGAGCTAGGGAGGGAAGAATACAGACACACAGAGGCAGAGAGTGACAAAAAGACAGAGAGAGAGAGAGGGAGGGACAGATGGACGGAGACAGACAGAGACAGAGAGAAAAAAAATTAGAGACAAAGAGAGAGAGGGAGGGCGAGAGAAAGAGCTAGGGAGGGAGGGAGGGAGGGAGAGACAGAAACAGACAGACAGAGACAGAGACAGAGAGGGAGGGAGAGAATGAGGGAGGGAGGAAGACAGATAATTTACTAGTGAATTTAATATTTTCACAAAATCATGAAAATCATTTGTACCCATATGGTAATTAAGCTACATTGCACTTTATGGTAAAGATTCACACTAGCAACAAAACATCAAATTTGTAATAAAATGTGTGGCCAATGTATTGTAATGTAATGTATTGTACACATGTATTGTTGAATTTCTACATTAATAAAATAAATAAAACACACTCTAAACTAAAAGTAATTATACACAAATATCAAAAGATCATACTACTTGTACATGTATTATGTACATGTTTACACATAATTCAAATACATGTACTATACATGTAATTCATGATGGCACAGTATACTCCTCACAAAAATGTGTACAACAAAATTTTATCATATTAAAAATTACAACGTGCAAGGTAAACTAATACATAAACAATATTGGAATATCACACAAATAAATATAAAGAACAACATGTATTGGAACTGGTTTATTATCAACTAGCATGTACTACATTACATCATGTTGCAATAATGTGTGTATCACTCAATATACAACTCACATCATTTCTAGACTCAAGGTCAGCTCCATTACTGAGTAACCACTGGACAGCATCACTCCTGTTATAGTAAGCTGCTGCATGTAATGGAGTGAAGCTACCCTATAAGAAATAAACACAACAAATAAAGTACATACAAAATGATAAATAAAATCAATTTTATTACACCATTATCATACAGTTCCATAAAATCACAGTATTTTCAATTAGTAACTAATAATGCAAGCATAATAATTCAATGACTGAATAATTAGTTATAATGTATGGTATATAACTACAATGTATTTTATACCAATATTGTTATGTTGTGTGCTATCCTTCACAATAGAAATGTATAAAATTCATTATTTCCTCAAAAAATGCAATAAAAATAATAAGGACTGATCCTTCAATAAACACACACCACCAGAAAGAAGGGACTATGAGTGTCATCAATAGGATACTGTGTTTGAGGAACATACAGTATTTCCTCATGGAAACACCTACACCCAATAAATGCCCGTACCTGTATAAAGTATAAACACCTAGAGACAGCATAAAACATTGACAATAAATGCCCATGCTTGTTTAGATGCCTATGCCACACCCACTTTCCCCACGTGGTTACTGGCACACACTACAGGCAACATAGCAGTTGTAGCTGAGAAGGAAGCTCATAGAAGAAGACTCCTTGGCAATGAATTTAAATGTCTATCCTCATATAAACACCTACTTCATTTAAACACCCAGCAAACGGGTCTCTATAAGATAAATGCCTAGGTGCTTCCATGAGGAAATATGGTAATTACACAATATTAATATAATAAACTGATTTATAACTAAACTGCAGGTACTTTTACATTATACAAGTCATACTAATACACTAGTCACTACATCATACACTTACCACATCAGGATAATGCCAATTGATATCTGCCCCATTAGAGAGGGCAGTCCTCATTCCTTGAATATCTCCTCCCCAAGCTGCATACCACAACTGTTGGTCCTACAGTATTAACAAGTGAATGAGTGTATTATTAACAGTTATTATAATAGTAATATTAATCACTCCTATGTCTCATTATCACATAATCTCATTCAAACACAAAATTCACAGAATATGTAACCAGTGACAATAACCGACCATAAACAACACATAAACAATACATGTACATATAAAAACAACTTTTAATGGAAAAATACACAAACAACTGAGCCATTCATTTACATGTACTTGTATAACATATGAGAGTATTGATTGATCGTGAGAAATTTGAGAGAAATTGTCTAAATTGATAGGTTGGCCAATTAAGTTTTGACAAATTAATTAATTCCTAACACGTGTCACCTAATAATTGACAATAATTTGTGAGTTTTAATTTGGAGTATTTTTTAAATTACCAACTTGACAAATTTAATCCCTCACCAATAAATCCTCCAATACAGTACATGTACATGTATATCCTTATAAGGAAAGAGAGTGTCCCTCCCTCTACAAAGAGTGTGTCTGGTGTATTAGTATACATTGAATCATTGAGTATCTATGACTGGACACATAAGTAGGACTAGGACTAGGGTAGTAGGAGGAGGAACACCTAGTGACAATATTACATAAATACCCAGTGGAAGAGATACAAACTACTACACTACTAGATGAGGGTCCCATTACTGACATTGTTATGATAACACATTATACTATCTACAATACACTGGACTAATGTTTACTGGTATTCCTAATTTAGTGAATTTCATGCATCATCTAACACAATTTGTAAATAATTAAATTCCAGAAAATTGAATTATGCTTAGTATAATTAATCCTGGCCCAAAAAGGAGGTTTCAATCTTCATAATATACACATGAGGTTATTCAATGTTTAGTGTACTTAGTTCCACCAGAAGTAAGGTTGAAAGATGAATGAGGTAATGTATGGTAATAGACCAGACCCTTGCTTTGTAGAGGGAGGGACTGGCTATGTGAGACTAATAAGGAATGAATCTAATCAAGTGGAAATTTGTACTCATTACAAGTCCTTTTATGTAAAGATATTTACTCATTGATATTGTTCTATTAGTATACTCCCACTACTGACTATACATACTGTCAATGAATCAATAAATACATAAACATGTATCTATGATATAGTGTCATATCTGACACTGGACAGGAGATTGTAGTGCATAGTGGGGAATTTCCTTAGGGTGTTGTTTTATCTAAAATTAAAATTCAGCAGAAAAAATTATCTTGTAATCATTAATTAATGGCTCTAATTCTCAGAAATGAAAATATAAAGCAGTAATATTATTGATATTATACTAAAATTAATGTATCACTCCCAATGGATCATTGATGGTAGGTATATCTAGTGAATAAATGAATATGGAAAATTTACTGTCTCAAAGCAAAAATAACTCGGAGGCCATTAGCTGTGCATGGAATAATACAGTACACTGTATGTACATGTACATTGGCAGTACAAGACGTGACAGAAACATTATATCTGAAATTTGGGACAATTCCCAAAACTAACTACATCAATTGAATCATATACATGTATATGTAGATCTACCCACACATTAACCAACAGTACACTATCATGTATTTGTATCAGTACATTACTAACACAATACGTACAATACATTAATTATATACTCTATTGATAGTATATACTTACTGGAGTCTTACGAGTAGCCATTCCTAACAAAAGAGAGCGAAAGAAAATGAGAAAAGAACTTAAAGAAGAGAATGAGAGGCTTGAGAACGAATCAGGAAGCTGAAGTCAGCAGGATTAGGGCGTGTCCAACAATAATATTGTAGGTGTGGACTAGATCTACCCACGTGAATACACGTGGGTTGACTGTGCTGGAATTAAGTACTAAAGAATGCATGTGATATCATCCTCTGAAGACTTAACAATAATACTCAGTGTCAGTCTCTGATCCATTGGAATGAATCTACTATTTAACAATCATGATCTCTTTATTAGGATCCATTTTATACACCTGTCATTTTACATAGAGGCACGTCGGCTAACTGGACAGTGATTTGTAGGCCATGACTTGGCAACATTCAGACAGTTCACAATGAAGTAAATATCAACTAGTTACTGACAGTATGAAATGAAATGTTTTATGAGTAAATAGTGGGTCATTTATCAAATTTGTCAGTATTAATGAAGAGAGAGCTTCATTTTTATCATTTTTATATTTTGTCCTGATACATATACATGCACTCATATTGTGTAGAAAGTTTGAGCTGACTTTGTTCAAAATAGATTTTTAAAGCTGCTTTAAAATTGGTTAAGAGTCCCTGTACTAGGATAACCAAATTTCGCCAAATTAATTATAATAGGAGGAAATTTTGCATTTTTATGATGCAAATATATGTACTTCTATTGCATAAAAAGTTTGAGCTGATTTCAACCAAAATGGATTTCTTTAAATTTTTAAAGTTGCTCTAAAATTGGCTAAAAGTCACTGTACTATAGTACAGGTTTACAGCCTAATTTTGCCAAAATTGAAAAGGAGAGAATTTTTTATTTTTATTGCACTTTATGATACTTATACATTTTCTTGTTTTGTGTATAACGTTTGAGCTAATTTTCTTCAAAATTTGATTTTATTACATTTTCTGATGCATATACATGTACATGTATTTATGTTGTGTAGAAAGCTTGAGTTAATTGATTCTAAACTTTTTAAGTTGCTGAAATTACTATCTATTTTTGTTATTGTGTTCCCTCCATTGTTTGGCGTGATTTTGTAGAAAACCATGGACTATTAGCATGTGTTTCTTTTGATTTTTTTTTGAAAAATTACTACTTTTAAAATGGCTGTAAGTCAACAAATAAATTGTTTGAATCAACTCTATGTCAACTTTATGTTATTCAATAAAGCATCATTAATCATTTCTTTTCATTTATTATAGGTTGCGGACCTGCATGAGGCTGAACTCATCATCTCAAGGACTGATCTCACATTCATACACTGAAGATCTATAGACTGGGTTTAGGAACTAAGGACTGTAACACTATAAGACTGGTTTAATTAATTAAAATTATTGTTGACTTGTACTCTGCATGTATGACTGAAGTGTGTTTCTTATTTTATTGTCATTTTTCATGATTTAATCTCATTTCTGTTTATAAGTCATTGCACCTGCTTCTGCATTAATGGCTCTCGCAATAATTTAATCAAAATTCATAATAATCAATGATAAAAAGACAACTTTGTGTATTAAACAAAAGTGCTAAAATTATAAACAATAATGTTATGTAATTCTTTATAGTCTTCAGTTAATGTACAGCTTCAAACAGCAAACAATTAACCTATAGCAATGACAACATATTGAACAATACTATACTTAGAATACTTCTCAATGTAGTCTTCAATAGCAGAGAATTGTACTTATCCTCTTAGTGTCATTTACCTTACAATGGAATGTAATTCATCATACATAGTTATAACTATGTATGATGAATTACATTCCATTGTACTGTTAGTATCTATTCTTCTTGTATGTAGTGCTCTTAGCATCACTAGCAGTAGTAGCCACTAGTGATCCCAGGCAGTGTCACGTGGAGGTGGCACTACATTGCTGCCCACACTAGAACAGAGAACAATATAATTATATTGACACATACCTAATGTACTTGAACCTTTAACAGGAACTTGCTATAACCTTAGGAAAGAGAAGGTTAATACATGACACATACTGTAAGATATGTCCATTTTTAAATATCCAAACTTGTGATTTTAGAGAGGAAATTTTTAGTAAAATAGGTATTTTGATAATAGCCATTCACCAAAATAAAACCCACCATTATGAACCATTATGTACACATGTACATGCTCAATGGGACATGGACACAAATTAAAACACACCAAAATTTAGCAGTTGAACAAATGCCACAACTTCAAATTACCAGAAGCATACTAGTTTGGATAATTTTAATTGCATTAGGTAGCTATTTAAAAACTGATTTATGAAGCACATACAGACACATCAAATGTCCATTATGTACATGTAAATGTATTTACCAGTGAAAGTGTGAGGAGCAGTTAGGACATGTAACCACATCTTCACTAAACCTGAACAACAGATCCCTTGAATGACAAACACCACATCCTGTACCATTAGCTGAACATTTCTACATAAAAATATTACAAGATAACACGTTACTAGTCACATGTACATCATGCATGAC